TTGGGCTTGCCCAGACACAATTTCCATCCACTGCCCCCACCACAAACATGATAAACAGGTACTTTGCATTTGAAATGCATTATTATGCATCAACATTTGTAAATATATTTTTCATTTAATGCAGTTTTTTATTTACAAATGCTTTTAATGTATAATTGCAAACAAAAAAAAAAACTTTATAAACTATTTTAAATTAATTCATTACTTTATTTTGAAAATGATTAATAATTCAAGTAATTTATATAACACTTTTCACAATACACATTGTTTTAAAGCAGCTTTACAGAAAAATGCATTTAATGCATTATTAATACATTTACAAACACATATAAAAATATTTTATAACTTATTTTGAATTAATTTTTTTTTTTTTTACTTTATTTTAAAAATGTTTTATAATTTTCAAGTCATGTCAAATTGATTTATATAACAATTTTCACATATTTTTTTTATGTTACATTTTGCAAAGATATGAACAATCAAGCAGTTGAGATTTGATATATATATCGCCCTATGCAAGTATCCTGTATGTATAACGTTGATAATACACACGTTTCCAACTATATATAAAGAGTTGGGTGAAGATATAGTTTTACTTTGCGACTAAATAAAAAACCATTCTACCTGCAATGTCAAAAGTTACTCATTTATATCATCCAGCGTGACTTACTTGTTTTGGTACAATTCACCACAAAAGTGTTCAATATAGAGAAAAAAGCAAGGCATGAAAGCATGTTATTTTTAAGATGCAGTGATGCGTCTTCGGTCAGTTTGGCCGAATCTCTCTCACGTTGGCTCTGGGTTTTCTGTATTGTTGCCCTGTGCACACAGATTTTCTTGCGTCATTTATCCCGGGGTGGGCGAGAGATCTTTTGTGTGCATGTGTTTTTTGTTTGGCTCATGGATCGAGAGGGGGGCGACCCGTAGCAGCACAGATGGTGGAAGCGAGTCAGTTCGGTCCGGTCCGGTCCGAGCAGCTAAACCTTCAGGATTTCCAGCCTGTTGCTCCGGCCCCGCAAAATAAATTAGACTTTAATTCAATTAGAGTCCAGCTACTGTGGCCGCCTCACGGCAGAAATTATTGAACATATCCACCCCCTTCATGAAACACACCCACTCGGGCCGTCCTGGATCCGCACACAGACACTGGAGTTGTTTTACACATCGCTGAGTTTCTCCATTCACTGGCCTCTCAAAGCTGCTTCACTCTTTCACTCGTCTTTTGTTCGCTCTCGGCTGCTGCCCTTCTGTCCCTTTCTCTTCGCCACACCACCCCCTTTCGTCTTTCGCTCGCTTTCTCTTTCTTTCACTCTTTCTTTTTTTCTTGAGGCGTTGCACGGCTTCCCCAAAACCCTCATATCAGACTGGAAGAGTTTCATGAAAACAGTTCATGGACATAAAAGCAAACAACTTGCAAGCTTGCAGAATTAAATTAATTATTGAATTAATTAAATATGTTTTTATTTTTTACTTAGAAATATTAGGTAAAGAAGAGACTAAGTTGAGATGCACAACTGAGATCTCATCTCGTGAGCCATGAAAGAGCATGAAAATTGTCTTGCAAATTCCTTCCTGAGGGGAAAAAAAACAGTTTTTGTTGAGATAAAAATTATTTTTTTATAAATTAGTTCAACTTTTAAATAAAATTGGGTAAGGTAAGTTCCCATTAGTATTTGATAACTAACGAGCAGTATATTTGTTACAGTATTTATTCATCTTTGTTAACATTAGATAAAAATGGCAACTGTTCATTGTTAGTTCATGTTAGCTCAGGTCCAATAATTAATATTAACAGATTTGACTTTTAATCAACATTAACTAAATGCTTTAAGAGTATTTTTCATTGTTAGTTCACATTAACTAATGTACTTGACTAATGTTAACAAATTGAACCTTGTTGTAAAGTGTTACCAAAAAAAAATCACATATAGATTATCATTGGCTTTTGCAATCTAATTGAAAGGAAAATCTGAGTGTTTAAATCTATTGTTGGAGCTCAAACACTCGCGCCGGGGGTGTTCAGGTGATCTGCATGCGGAGGGCCGGTTATCTTCAGCACGGTTCATGTCTCCTCCCATTAACCCTGACGACTCGAGCACAGTGTGTAGGTTTACCTGCGGGGAGTCTGTCACCTCCACACACACACACACACACACACACACACACACACACAGCGTCAGGGCCACAGGCTCGTCTCTGGGCTCATCTAGCGGACCGCTGTGAGACCCTCAGGTTGGGCTTGTGTTGCAGCGAGAGAGAACCCACCCTGGAGCACTTGGAGGTACTAAACTCCTCAGACTCGTGTGGATTATTGGATTCAATGAGGAAAAGAAAACAGGATACTTTGTTTCATTTTGTCTGCCTGTGTTTCTGGCTTCATTTTGAGGTCCTTCTGCAGTTGACATGATAAACCATTGGATTTTAAACAGATTCTCCTGCTGATGAGGAATTGGAGAAGACTGGAGCTCTTTCTTTAGGGACAAAAGTACAGAATTTGTGGTTTGATGAGCACAGGTTTCATGACACATTTCCTTTTGAAACAGGAAGTTGAGGTGAGGGATATCAAAAGGCTCGCCACTTTTTATTTACGTAACTGATAGTTTAGTTCATACCAGATGCTATTGGGTGGAGAGCACACTGTAAAAAATGTCCGTGAATTTAACGGTAAAAGACTGTAAAAATGCTACAGTAAAAACCTGTTAAATGGTTAACGGTAAATTCCCCTACTATATATGGTGAAAAACTGTATTGGACATTACATGTAATTTTACGGTAGTATATTGTTTTTGGAAGTGGAAAAAGACCATATAATTTACAGTGAATAACCGTAAATTAACATTACCAGAATTCGCTGCGTTACATTTCAGATTTGATGTTTTTTTGTTGAAATAACTGTTTCTTCTTAGTTTTTTCTTATCACTTTTCTATATTAGGGTTGTATGTTACACCTCATGTTGTTAAATGAACGTTTATTGCATTATTTCAGTTTCATGTCCATGATGGTGTTTAGTGTTTGTGTGAATCACGCTGTGCACCTTCTATATATGTTATTATTTAAAAGCTGCTTGTGATGGGCTTTGGTTCATCATGTGACTTTCTCATCACCACCTGCTTTTGGTGGATATCAGTGTATTACAAAGCTACAAAACAGATTTCAGTACTTCAATAGGTTGGTAACTTAACATTATATGAGTTAATGAAATTACAGTATTTAACTGTAAATTTAAGTTAAAACCGTAAAACCTAAAATGTTGCTACCGTATACCACACGTTGCTACCACAGCTGCCGGTTTTTACCGTAAATTTTACAGATTTTTATTTATTTTTTTTACAGTGGCAGTGTTATTTCAGTATCAATACACTATATTAGTTTTTGTTAATATTTTGAATTAGACTGTATTTGTATATTTTCTGTTGTCACTTCAATTTTAAAGTTTTAGTATATTTGTATGCCTTTTTTATCTGTTTTAGTTTATTTAGTTGAGTAGTTTAAGTTCAACTAAGTGAAAATGAGAAAGAGTTATGTATTTTTTATTAGTTTACTTCAGTCAACATTTTATTTAAATTAACACTTTTTTAATTGATTTTAGTGTTAGTTAACTATAAAAACCCCAAATTAATTTTACAGAGAATTTCTTTGAACAAAAATGTGGGTGATTTCGGATTATTTTTGTGCTGTTTTGCCAGCAGACAAAGACTCTTTAAATGTGCTTTTTTCGTTAACAGTTAAGAGTGCAGATAGTTTGTCACATTTTGAACGTCTTTGAGTAAGTTCCTCTGGTTTGTAGTCGTCTAAGTGTATGTTTGCGTTGAGAAAGCGGGCATCGGAATCAATACCGTCTCGCGCAGCTCTGCGATTATCAGCCGCAGAAATGACAGGCCTGTCTGCGAGCGGTGCGTAGGTTAAGCCCAACATTAACGGTGACTGGGGCAATTAGGAATGTCATTTTAATTATCTGTGGCATCGGAGTGAGAGATGTTCCTTTTATTTGTTTGAAATCAAAAGCAGAGGAGCAGGTAGCATCAGCGCGAGAATGGCAGCCGTAATCGCCTTTGTTCCCTTTGACACTCGCAGAAGACGCTGACGAATAGAGAGTGTCATCAGAGGAGAACTTAGCCGGCAAGTAAACATTATCGTTTCTTTGTGTCTGCGCTCTGGAAACACAAAAGACTGATTAGAGATGAGGTGAGGAATCACTGTAATGGCTGCCGTGACATTAGCAGGTTGGAATTATTGTGTTGAAGAGCACAATACCGGCGTGTGATAGGCTGTCTGTCAGCCAAACAATGCTCTCGCTCTGGAGTTTTTACTGCATCTGAAGTTCCACCCAACCCATCATTATTTATCGGCCTTTTCAAATCTTCCAGCAGCGAGTACAAAGTTGATGGATTTTGTTTTTAACTTCTCAAGATGTCATTTCTACTTTGTAGAAGCGCTGTCTCTCTCTTTCTGTCTTTCTCTTTCTCTCCTTCTGTGTCTCTCTTACCCATTTTCCGTAACCTGTTCATGAGCACACGGTTACTCATTTTGAGAACTTCTTTTATCGTCCAAATGTCTTTGTGCCATCACAATCTGACGGTCAGAAGGTATTTAAATGTCCACTACCAGTAAAGATGTTTTTGAAAGTCTCTACTGGCTGCATTTACTTGATCAAAAATACAGTAAAATAGTAAAATAGTAAAATGTTATTTAAATTCCAAATAGCTGTTTTCTATGTGAATATGTTCTAAAATATAATTAATTTATGTGATCAAAGCTGAATTTAAATAATACTTTTAATATGCATTCTAATATGCTGATTTTCTGACAAAAAACATTATCAATGTTGAAAACAGTTGTGCTGCCCATTATTTTTATGGAAACCGTGATACATTTTATTTTTCAGGATGCACAGATGAATAGAAAGTTCAAAAGAACAGCATTTATTTTTAAATATAAATATTTTGTAATGTATTTACTGTCACTTTTGATCATTTTAAAGCATCCTTGATGAATAAGGATGTTTCTGGTTTGTGAGCATGCAGTTAAAGTGGCAGATGCGACGCCCATACTTTCGCTCCAGAACCGCCTTTTCTGTGGTCAAACTCGTGGAAGTGTTCCAGCACCAGCAGCCTGTCCAGAAATATTGCGTCCGGTCGCTGGGCGTGTGAAGGGTGTTTTGAATGTAAATGTGTTGAAGGTATATCTGGACCACACATCAAGTCTGAATCTCTCACTTATTCTTTTGGCTTTTCTATTCTTATTTCCTCCCTCCCTCTTTCTCTGTCTCCTTTCTTGGGTTCTTTCTCTCACGGAGAGCATTACTCAGTCTGAACTTGCCTAAACCCTTGTGGTCACACCTCTTGAAAAGGTTTTGTTTCCCCTGTCAATTGGTATTCAGCCCAGGTCACATACGCACACACATGCACCGTTTTCATTTTAATTTGCACCTGTTGTGCAGTTGTTCGGGAGGCAAGTGCAGACCAGTGGATTAGCCAAAGATCATGTTAGGAACAGATATGCCTAGTGTAATCTTTTTGTCCACAGGGGAACATTAAGATAGACTGTGCTTTGTGTGTGTGTGCTGGCATACTCTCGCTCACCAAACTAAACAATGCACAGATGAAAATAAATATAAATCTACATGGCAGGCCTTCCTTTATTAAGTCATCCCAGATGAGTTTAATACTCATTCATAGTTTATGTATCACATACATGCACAAGCTCAGTGATAACGTAATAATCTGTAATATTGATCATCTGTTTGTATATGTGTTTTTTTGACAGTGTTGGACTATGAGAACGTTGTAGAAACCGGATCAGAGACAGAAGAAGAGGACAGACTTCTGGTGTCGGAGGAGGACGGCTTGTTCAACGGGGCGGGGAGTCCAGTCAGCCTCGTCAATCAAGAGTCTGTGGCTCCGCCCTCTCCGACCCTGGGTCACACACTGCTGAGGAAGACTGTGGATGATGAAGATGATATGAAGGACAGTGGAATAGAGAACGTATGGAACGAAAACGACTTGCTGAGTGCGTCAGTCGATGGTACCGGTGAGTTACGCCCACTTCCTTTATGAAAACACACCCCTTCTGTCAAAGACACACCCTCTTTTATCTTGGATGCACCCATCTTCACTAAGACACATCCTCTTTTCTCCTAGACATGCCCATCTTCTCTTAGAAACACCCTTTCATCTCTTAGACACACCCATCTTATCTTAGTCACACGCCCTCATCTCTTAATAACTCACATCTTCTCTTAGACAGACACTCTCTCCTCTTAGACACACTCTCTCTTATCTTAGACACACCCATACTTTCTTAGACACACCCTCTGTCCTCTTAGACCCACCCCTCATATCATAGCCACACCCATCTTCTCGTAGACACACCCTCTCTTATCTTATACACACCCCTCATCCCTTAGTCACTCACACTTTCTCTTAGACACACCCTCTCTCCCCTTAGACATACTCTCTCTTCTCTTAGACATGCCCATCTTATCTTAGACACACCCCGTCCGCTCTTAGTCATGCATATATTCTCTTAGACACACCCTCTGTCCTCTTAGACCCACTCCTCCTCTCGTAGCCACACCCATCTTTCCGTAGACACACCCTTTATTCTCTTAGACCCCCCCCCTTTCTCTTAGTTACACCTTCTCTCCCCTTAGACACACCCTCTCTCCCCTTAGACATACTCTCTCTTCTCTTAGACATGCCCATCTTATCATAGACACACCCTGTTCTCTCTTAGTCATGCATATCTTCTCTTAGACACACCCTCTGTCCTCTTAGACCCACCCCTCCTCGTGTAGCCACGCCCATTACATATTAGACACACCCTCTCTTCCTTAGACACGCCCCTCTCCTCTGTATGTTGTCCCTGATATTTTGTTGAAGCCTGATCTCACTTCCAGTGCAACTACAGCAGAACGCTTCCCTTTAATTATCACATAAGACCCGTTTCTGCCTGTAATTGTTGTAGGCGCATTCGGCCCGGTTTGCAGAGCATCATTGGTAATTGCAGTAATAGCAGAGCGTCGCGTGTCCTTGTAAACGCGGCTCCCGGTTTCCTCCTGCAAGCATCATTGGTGCGGGAGGCGCAGTCAGAGACGCAGAGAGATAAATACTCTTAATGAGGGAGAGAGGTAATCATTAAGGGAGGCCAGGCTGCTGCTCAAGTCATTAAGAATCTTAAATGAAATTTTTATTTTTATGATAGCCATTTACATGTGTAATAAGAGTCAATGATTCTTAGAAGCGTATGACAGAAACATAGGAGTGTGAGAGCCCATGGAAGACAGACCATCTAAATGAGCACTTCTTCGCTATTCATTTCTGCTAATGAACTAGCTGTGCACAGAGCCGAGAGAAAGAGGGGGCGTTCGCTAGTCTAAAAATTTAATACGCCCCAAAAAAAAAGCCGGGGTAGTGGCATTAGGAATACTATGAAGTCTGATTTTCCTTTAGGAGAGCAGCCGGCTTCATCAAGCATTTTTGGCTGTCTTTAGTCCAGGATTTCTCACACTTCTTTGAACTAAAGACCCCTTTCTTGACCCCAATAGTTTGAGATGCCATAGAATATCACAGAAATGGGAATCGTGGCCACCCACTTTCATAAGCCCACATCCACTGTTACATATGAGAGTAAATTAAAACTGAATGTGGTCATTTCACAATTTTTTTTAACAATTATTTTATTTTAGATAACGTTTTATTTATTTTGATTTATTTTTAGTTAACAATGATAACCCTGCCCCACTCTCTAAACCAACTACAGTCCTGTGTTTGCAATTAAGGTTCTTGTATATATTTGAATATTAAGTAAACAAGTTTTAAAGTATACTTTGATAGCCAGTGATATATTTGTTGTTATTATTTTCAACATGATGCCACAAATGCTGTTGATAGAGCTTAACTCATATTGAACCCGGAACATTCCTTTAATTTGATAAACCCTCTTGGAGCCGGAATGTCTGTGATTCCGCTGTGTTGCAATTCCATGATGTGTGGTGTGTGTGTGTATGTGTGCGTGCGTGTGTGTGTGTGTGTGTGTGTGTGTGTGTGTGTGTTGTGATAAAAACCACGGCCATGTTTCTGCGCTGCTGGGGTGACGTTCATTAGCTCCGGAGGAAGATGCCAAAGTCTCTCTCTCTTTTTTTCTCTTTTGTGCGGTCTTTCCAAACTTGTGGGCACTTTCCTTCTGCGTATATATTACAATATATTGAAAAAAAAAAAAAAAAAAAAAAAAATATAAATATATATATTTTTTTTTTTTTTTTTTATTTTTTTTTTATTGTTGGAATAAATTACAATATATAAATTATAAACATAAATTCTAAGGTGTTGAGACGTTTAACACATTATATTTTATATTTTATGTTTTTACATATATTTTTTATAGTTTTATTTTATGAATGAATGCATTTTATCTAGCCATGCAATGTTTTTGATCCCCGTAAACTCTATGAAAAGGTGCATTTATATTTATATATAAATAATATAAACAGTGCATTTATATTTATAGAATATATATGTAGACAGTGATCACCAGAGAAAAGGTGATAAACATTAATCATATAAATCAATTATATTATTAATATATGTTTTCAGGTCTCTTGCAATAGCAGGTGAAGACCCTGGTAAATGATCTCAGAATAATGATGTTTAAAGCAGGGAGTTGATGCAGTGATGTGTTTCTGTGTTTGTGTTTCTCGTGATTAGAGTTTAATTAGAGACTCAGTGTTTGGTTTGTGTGCTAGAGACAGGGAGCAGCAGCGGATCAGTGCACTGGAGATCAGAAGACTATCTGTCTCTCTCTCGCTCTGTTTGCTTGTTCAGGTGGATGGAACATTCTTGAGCTGATCTCTGAGTTTGCTCTCGTGCGTGCGTGTGTGTGTGTGTGTGTGTGTGTGTGTGTGTGTGTTGTGATAAAAACCACGGCCATGTTTCTGCGCTGCTGGGGTGACGTTCATTAGCTCCGGAGGAAGATGCCAAAGTCTCTCTCTCTTTTTTTCTCTTTTGTGCGGTCTTTCCAAACTTGTGGGCACTTTCCTTCTGCGTCTCTGTGTTTTTTCTCGCGTTTGGTGTCGGAGTGTCTGCACTGGTACCTCAGCACATAGCTCTGTCCTGAGATAAGCCCAGCATGCTCTCCCTCACTCTTTTCTTGTCTGTTTGCTCCGGTCAGTCAGATTGCTGCGTTGGTGTCGTCCTTGACTCACTCTCATCTCCCATAATGCCCTTCACTAGTGTGTGACATTGTTATCACTGACGGAGACTTTAAATAAATCACCTGCGTTCCTCCCCGCCCTTGTCTCTCTGTTTTTTCCATCTTTTCTTGTATTTCGGATCCTTCCAAGGACCTCAGAGAGTCAGGAGGTTCAGACGGGAGCCGTGTGTTTTCACAGAGCATGCTAACGGCCTGTACAGACGGGAATGTTTTGAGAGTAAACCGAACGGATGGAGTGAAATCATCAGGAGGAATAGATTCAACACGGATCTCCTTCAGAGGCCTGTTTACTCACCCACCACCTCGAAGTTGATTTATCAGCCTGAGACGAGAGCACAACTCCCTCGGCTCTCCAAACTGAGGAGGACTAGCTCACCTCCTACTGGAATATTTGCCCCCTGTCCCCCCGAAACACTGATAGTAAAACTGATAGAAACAAGAAGGAGAGAAAAAAGAAAAATCTAAACGGTGGATTCCAGTAAAAGCTCTGTGCAGCAGAATTAAAAAAAAAAAAAGATGTCGGGAAAAATCAAAAGAACTCGAAAAACTCAGAAAAACAAAAAAAAAAACTTAAAAAAAATGAATGAATGCATAACTGTAAAAAGAAAAAAATATTGTAATATATTATATTGTTATATAGTAATATATTGTTATTATTGTTATTGTAAATAATTAATAGCTGATCTCTGAGTTTGCTCTCGCTTGTTTCCCAGCGCGCTCTGCTCTGTGTGTGCGTGTGATTGTTGTCAGTGTAAATAAGTGGGTCATTTTGAGTCCTACATGAGATGCAGAACAAGATGTTTTCTGTCCAGATGCAGTGTGTCAGTGAGCTAATACTCTCCTCTCCTGTCTGTCTCTCGTTCACAGATGAGCTGAAGGGAGAATATGACACTATGGGGCCCGATGCCGCTTTAGAGCCGGTTGGGAACGGTACAGGTGAGTCATGTGAACATGTTGATTTGCTGCATTGAGATAGAGTGCATTAGTCTTGCCCACTTATTCAGCAGCCCTGGAAGTATTTTTCCCATTCATTTTTCCCATAGGGATTTTAAGAAGAAGTCTTTAAGCGTTATAAGGTTTTATTTGAAAGTCAAAGAAAATCAGACAAAAAGACAAGAATGTGTGCTTAATGGCTTTAGTGAGGAAAAGAACTACAGTCCCATGAAGCATTACGAATGGAATTAAAAGCGATTGAGAAATCTAAAACTATTAATTTAAAGTTGATTGAATCTGTAGAAAGAATATATTTTAAGTTGATTGCAAAATATGTATATATACAAATGTGACTCTGGAGCACAAAAGCAGTCTTAAGTCGCTGGGGTATATTTGTAGCAATAGCCAAAAATACATTGTATGAGTCAAAATTATCAATTTTTCTTTTATGCCAAAAATCATTAGGATATTAAATAAAGATCATGTTCCATAAATTTATTTTGTAAATTTCCTACTGTAAATATATCAAAACTTCAGTTTGGATTAGTAATATGCATTGCTAAGAACTTAATTTGAACAACTTTAACGATGATTTTCTCAATATTTAGATTTTTTGCACCCTCAGATTCCAGATTTTCAAATATTTAAAAAATCTCGGCCAAATATTGTCCTATCCTAACAAACCATACATCAATGGAAAGCTTATTTATTCAGTTTCGGATTATTTATAAATCTCGATTTTGAAAAATTGATGTGGTCCATGGTCACAAATATGTAAGTATTTTGAGAGCATAGGGAGACTCAATTACATCGTTCACGGTGCTTCATGCGAATGGTGCACTTTTCTCTCTGCAGCTCTCTGATTGGTGGAATTTTTGTACCGCCTCATGGGTAATGTAGTCTTTATTGTGCTGTTAAACAAGGGTATTTTAAAAATGTTGAATTAATATAAACAGATGGGTTATAACGCAAGCATATATCGTTGAATAACAACCTCAGAGCTCACAACAGGTCTGTCTTTAAAGGTTTATCAGTTATTGTTAGAAAAATAATTCTCATGCTCTATTAGCATGTCTGTGACGCAGCATTTCATGCAAACTGAAACGTCTAACTTAAAAATGATTCCACTGCTGAGATTTACGCAGCAGAAGCACATCAGCATTGTTCATATGAATCCACAATCATCCGAGTGATTCCTGCTCTCTGTTTGACATCATCACACACAGAAGGGTTTGTTTTATGAGAAACACCGTTAGGCCGTGTTTGAGCTGTCATCGCTGATGTAGTTCAGGAGGAAGGATGTGTAGTTTTAATAAAGCTTTCTAATGTTAGACACACACTCCAGAGATAAACAGCCCACGATCCTCCTCTGCAGGGAGGGACGTTCTCGGCTCGAGCGTCAGGAGCGGAAGGAAAACATTAGGCCGTCGACTTTAGAGCGCTTTCTTCTGCGAGCACGAGAACTTCCCCAAATCGCATTGCAGGCCAAAATCTAATTTGTGCGCAAACTCGATTTGTTTAGATCATGTAAGCCACAAAACCCACAGCAGCGAGGAGCTAAACGTGTTCATTTGTCGGGCCGCGGCGCTCACGCGTGTTCACGTGAATGATAGCGAGGCAGGTCTAGTAATGAGAGAGGAGGGAAATCATTTGCTCTGTTAAATAATGTTAAAGGGCTGCCGGCTCTCTGACATTTTCAAGACATTTTTGACAGCGACACAGCCCAGCGGCTCGACCTTTGCACAAATGAGACGATAAAATGTTTACTGTCAGACAAACCTCAGTGCAGAGTTTATACCTTACACAAGCTCGTCCTGATTAAAAGGTAGCTGATAAAACTCAAGCCGAACAAGTGTTGTCTCTCTGCTGTAATATTTAACTTGTCTGATGAATGGGTGAGAGCTATTTATTCTCCGTTAGATAATATTATGTTACATAATAACGTAAAACACCTTCGCTTCGAGTATAGAGCTATAAAGTGAATGTGGAGCAGCTCAATTATTTGATGAAATTCACACTGAGATCTCCAACTTTTGATTGCTGACTTTGATATCTTGGCAAATCTGAGCACATTGTTGAGATCTCTTCTGAACCTTTAGAAGAGACACAAGAGATTACCGGAGTCTTTTTTTCTCAGGAGAAACATCTGAGAAGCAGGAAAACTCTTTATTCAATCTCACTGCTATCTTTAAGAAACAATTGAGATTTGAAAGACATTTGATTTGTGATTTTGCTTTCTGTGGGCATTTCCATGATGATTTTCAATTGCCAAAAAACACATAGCCTCAGCCCTGTTGATAACATTTCCCCTCATTTTTAATGTAATTATCAGAATCCACCTAGTTAGGAGTTCGATTACAGATCTAGGAAGTGATGTTGGGATTACAGCATACGTGTCTGCTCCTTATCTGACTGCCTCTAATACATTTAAAAGTAGAAAAAAGGGTTTATCGTTAAAAGCTTTTCCACAATTCCAATGGTTCTAGATTAACTCATATTTCTTATTTTAGTGGCCATTAGGTGGCTAGATAAGGCAGTAATTTAGACGTATCCCTCCCAGAACGTTTCTCTAATGTTCCTACGTTCTTTTTATCACAGCTCCTGCTGCATGTTTCCGTCACCTTCCAGTGCACCATATTTTTCACATGCAAGCAAGAATCCAGGTTTTATTTAAACGCTTTCTCTCTCTCTCTGTGTGTTTCTAGTGAAGAGCGTTCACTGCGCTACTGAGTTTGAGGATTTCTTCGGGAAGCGTAAACTAGTGGACAGTGAAAGTCATGTGGTCAGCATTGCCGAATACCTCCAGAGAGGAGACACAGCCATCATCTACCCCGAGGCACCAGAGGAACTCTCCCGTTCCCGCCTCGCCACGCCCGAAGCCAACGGACACGAGGAGAACGGTGAGAATGCCAGGCAGCTGTTGTTGCCGTCTGATTGGCTGCATGCCGCAGTGTTTACCTTTAGAGCTGCGTGCAGCTGTCCGAGTGGTGAAATCATACACCCTAAATTTCCCGTCCCGAGGGGGGCAGCCGGGGCGCATTACCTCTCTTAAGAAGAACGTGTGAAAAATTAGACGTGCGAGCCACCAGAAGTGATTACAACAGAGAGAACACAACTGGCCCCCAAACGCCGTCAGCAATTGCTCTGTGTTCAGGTTTAAACCATGGTAAACAACTGCTTTTAGCCAGTTAGGGTTAGTAGCAGTTTATTCTGACACAATCCAAAGAAGTCCCGGCCAATTCTGTGGCTCCCAGACCCGGATTTAATATTGAACACCAAGTGGCGACCCATGCACAAAAACCATAATGTTACCGTAAGCTGCACAGAACCGACACAAATACAATTTTAATATAAGAATGTTTGGTAATACTTTACTTGATGCCTTAATGTGTAATGCAAAGTATTAGTTATAATGTATTATATATTTTCAGTAAAAATGGTAACCAAAATATTTTCAGATTTATTGTTATAGTGCAATACATTGTTTTAATGCATTATACCTTCTAAAGGTGTAAAAAAAAAAAAGTATTATAATGTAAAGGCTTCAAGTAAAGTCTTAACAAATGTTTTTATATGTTTCTTTAATATCTACAGAGCAGAGGTGGCTAGTGGCTAAAACAATGCTATAACTGCAATTATCATATAAATAAGATGGACACAATTTAGTACATTTACTTTCAGCTTAATTTCATAATCTATTCATTTAAAACGTGCACAATATTTATATTATCCATTCCCAAAATGCTCAGTGGATATTAAAATTGACCACCTTTTTTTAAGTTATTGGCCGATGCCATCATCTTAAAATGGCTAAAGATCATCCTAATTATGTTAGCCTGGCTAACATATCTGTCTGTCACTAGTATGTTCCCACTTTAGGAGTGGAAAATAGTTTAAAACATGAATGTGTTATATTTCTTCCGTCACATAAAGCCCATGAGCAAAACTCAGCGAGTTGTGTGAATTCGAACGCATCTACTGTGTGTGTTCATGCATTGGCGTGAGTGCGTCTATGGGTGGCAGTGCCAACTTTGACGGTGGCACACAGTGGAGCAGATTGTACAGATACCTCCTCGTACCATCCTGGGCACAGCGCCCATTCGCTGCCATTGATTTGCTGACCTTTTGGCCCGCTGCCCCTCTCTCTCTGCTGCAGACCTGCCACCTGGAACTCCAGATGCTTTCGCCCAACTGTTGACCTGCCCCTACTGCGACCGGGGTTACAAACGCTTGACTTCCCTAAAGGAACACATCAAGTACCGGCACGAGAAAAACGAGGAGAACTTCGCCTGCCCTCTGTGCAGCTACACGTTTGGTTACCGCACTCAGCTGGAGAGACATATGGCCACACACAAGCCAGGACGAGATCAGGTGAGCCACACTTCCTCTCTCGCTCTCTCTCTATCTAATGTGCTGTATTCCCTCGGAGAAAAGATATCATTTTGATTGGCAATCATTATTAATTTTTCATGCCATTTTGAAGATGCAGATCTTTTAATGGTTATAGCCTTAATTGAGGTCTAAATGTTTTTTTGATGGCCTGCTCTGATATGATTCTGCAGTCTTATATTCACGATCGAATGACTATGCTAATTTCCAATTTAGATATTGTATCTGCTCTTTAGGTTTTCTTTTTTATGTTCTTTAAAAATCAGTTTGTCTGCGGTGACAGAGTAACACATCATAATTTCCACATGCGTAAATGATAAACGTGAGCCGAGCACTCAGCGTTTTTTCTCTTAACAATCTGTCGCAGCATTATTTACACACATTATATGGGTTGTTGTGGCTGTCGTGTCAAATATAAGACACATTCCCCTGTATAAACAGGTAGATACACTGGGTCTCTACTGGCAAATAAAGCAGGTAAAAGCAAAGTGTCACGCTGATCTCTCTAGAGACTGAACCACTTAAAACTTATCGTTACGACTCAAAGCGCAGTGTGACAGCAGAATTGCTGCTGTAATCATCTGAGATGAGGTACAGGAGCGCTTTTATCTCTCAGACATGACGTTGTGACTAGAACAGACTGATTTGATACACGACGAGCTGCCAACTTCTTCACCTGGTGCCACGGGCCGCTCGAAACATGAACAGATGGCCCATTTTGCACCCGTGACCTCTCTAATCCACAAACTACTTCCTATTTGTTGGTCTTTGTTTGTGCGCTTCATCTTGAAAGACTTTCCTGTTGAAAATTTGCTGTTGTCTGAAAATCCAGTGGCCATTGAAATCAGTCCATGATGTGCAGTAGAGCGCTCTACGTGTGTACGTGACTCCGGTTTACCGATACTTGCTAAGCCCAATAACATGCACATACCCAATCAAATGCCCCGCCCACATCATGCTTGACACACTTAGCGCAAGTGCATCACGCCGGGCGGAAAAATCCCTCTCCTCTCGCTGCTGCCAATCACAATTAGGCAGACGGAGTGACTGTATCACATCGAGGGTGATGGTGGGACCAAAACCTACTTCCATCCTCAGAGGGATGGTGGGGGGCATAAAGCAGCTGTTGCTGTTTGTTTATGCGACTCGGCAACATATGAGCGAATGGTGGGGTCCCTCCCCGCCGTGGGCCGCCTGGCTCCCTGCTTGATGTTTGAAGGTTGCCGCTGTTTGAACAATCCTCCCTGTGTCCTGTGCTTTATGCCATCTGTCTCCAGCGGAATGCGGGCCTCTCTCTCTCCCCACCAGTTGTCGGAGCCGATCATGGGTGGCGCTCACAGGCCTTTTGTGTTCCTCTGCCCGTTCGACATACTCACCTCCCACTCTGAATTAATTGTGCTCGCCTGGTGCGCTCTCTGCTTCTCTGCAGTGACGCCCGTATTGTTGTTGTTGTTATTATATTTTGATTTTCGAGACTCTGCTTTGAATTGCAAATGCGAGGGGCGCAGCGCTCATGTTCTAACTTTGAACAGCAAATGAAGTGCCTGCCTACGAGCCACATTCACGCATCATTAAAGAGACGTTTGAAGCCTTTAAACAGTCTACAAATTTGTGTCCAATTATGAAATTGCAACATTTATTCGAGCCCACCTTTTTCCGTAATGAACTCTTTGCACAGGTATCTGAAGGATGTGTTGGTTAAATATGTGTGATTTATTTGGAACGGTTATGCTAAATTAGATGAAGTGGATCATTTCTGCCTCCCTAAAGAGGAAAAAAGTCTTAAAAGCAGGATTATTTTTGTTCATTTTTTTTTCACTGCCAATGCAGCGTTTCTGGCTCTAGAGTCAGGAAATGAAAAGGTATGAGATGCTCTGTTATCGCTGCTCAAATGCACCCAACCAAAGCAAGATGTCGCTTTACAACAGGGGCCATTTGGCCCGTCATGAAATTATTCACTGAAATCTTGCCTGTTGTGTGTTTGTGCAAGAGAAGCTCATGTGAATATTTTCTCATCCACAGCACCAGATACTCAACCAGGGTTCTGGCAACCGCAAGTTCAAATGCACTGAATGTGGCAAGGCCTTCAAATACAAACACCATCTAAAGGAGCACCTGCGGATACACAGTGGTACGTCCTTTTCTTTCTTCCATAACTCGTTGCCTTAGATAAGAATGTCCTTGATTCTGCATCAGAATGACTGGGTTCTTTCTTTGTCATCGCTTCATTAAAGAAGTGTTATTAGATGAAAAGAGGGCGCAGACTTATTACTTTGAAAGAAATGCAATCAGTGTCAATAAGAACATCTCTCGCTTCTTGATGTGATCAAATTCTTTGTCTGTCTTCACTGTAGGTGAGAAGCCATACGAATGTCCAAACTGTAAGAAGAGATTCTCGCACTCCGGGTCCTACAGTTCACACATAAGCAGTAAGAAATGCATCGGACTGATCGCCATCAATGGCAGGGTGAGGAACAACTTGAAGACGGGTTCATCTCCGACCTCTGCATCATCCTCCCCTACAAACACCGCCATTTCGCAGCTACGACACAAACTGGAGAATGGCAAACCCCTTGGTCTGGAAGACCAGTCCAACCACCTCAACATCAAATCTGAACCACTGGACTTCAACGACTATAAGCTGATGATGGCCTCTCATGGCTACGGTACAGGCAGCCCCTTCCTCAATGGTGGTGTGAGGGGAGGCAGCCCACTGGGCATTCATAACTCCCAGAGTCCCCTTCAGCACCTGGGCATGGGGATGGAGGGGCAAATGCTGGGATACCCATCACTGGGAAATAACCTGAGCGAGGTACAGAGGGTCCTGCAGATCGTGGACAACACAGTTTGTCGACAAAAGATGGACTGCAAGCCAGAGGAGATCTCCAAGTTGAAGGCGTACATGAAGGAGTTGGGTTCCCACATAGAGGAACAGAAGCAAGCGCTCATCTCTACCGGTGGACCCCAGAACACTCTTCCTCTTATCAATCACAATGGTGCCACCAAGAGCATCATAGACTACACGCTTGAGAAGGTCAACGAAGCCAAAGCCTGCCTTCAGAGCTTGACTATGGACTCTAAGAGGCAAATTAGCAATATCAAAAAAGAGAAGGCAAATCATATGCTAGATATAGTTATAGAGGACAAAACGCACGAGAATAATAATCTAATGTTTACACCCTTCTCCTGCCAGTATTGCAAAGAGACCTTCCCTGGCCCCATTCCCCTGCACCAGCATGAGCGCTACCTTTGCAAGATGAATGAGGAAATCAAGGCCGTGCTTCAGCCCGCTCAGAACGCCTCGACCAACAAAACCGGCTTGTTTGCTGAGAAACACAGCCTCTTGCACCCCTCCGTCATCCCTGAGAAGGGCATCAACGGCCCTATCAGTCCCTACAAGGACCACATGTCAGTGCTGAAAGCTTATTTCGCCATGAACATGGAGCCCAACTCGGAAGAACTACTGAAAATCTCCATAGCAGTCGGCCTTCCACAGGAGTTCGTGAAAGAGTGGTTTGAGCAAAGGAAATTCTTTCAGTACGCAAACTCCAGGACTCCTCCTTTAGACAGGAACCATGTGGAGTCTGGACATCCGGTCTCCGTTCACACGCCCATTAAAGACTCATTAGGCATCCGGTCTCCGATGTCCCTGGTAAAAGGTACTGACCGCATCACATCCCCCTCCATCCCCGAGCTTCATAACAACATTAACAACTGCGACACCCCACTCAGGCTCTCCAAAACCCTTCAGTTCTCCAACCACAAGCTGCTGGGGGATAAGCTGGACCACTCCAGAAGCAACACGCCATCTCCTCTAAACTTGTCGTCCGCCTCCTCCAAAAACTCCCACACTAGCTCTTACACACCCAACAGCTTCACCTCTGAGGACCTGCAGGCTGAACCTCTTGACCTCTCATTGCCAAAGCTCATGAAGGAGCCAAAGCACATCTTGACTGTGAAAAGCCGACCCAAGCTAAACAGCACCCCCACTGACCATAACCACGTCATGATGCCCCGGGAGCACGCAGACGAGCCGCTCAACCTGGCTTATCTGTCCAAGAAAGAGTTTGGCAGCCCCAATGCAAACAGCAATCTGAACAAAAGCTCGAGCCCAATGTTTGGTCTGAACCCCTTCACTGCCAAACCCCTGTATACCTCCTTGCCACCCCAAAATGCATTTCCACCCCCCACGTTTATGCCCCCGGTGCAAGCCAGCCTCCCGGGGCTGAGACCCTACCCCAGCCTCGACCAGATAAGCTTCTTGCCGCACATGGCCTACACGTACGCGGCAGGCGCAGCCAGCTTCGCCGAGATGCAGCATAGGAGAAAATACCAGCGGAAGCCAGGGTTCCAGGTAAATAACGGACACTCTGTTTCATAAACCCTCAGGCCTTGTGTTTCTTTTTTCTATCCCTCTGGTGAGTGGCGCTCAGCTTCATTCAGACACTAATTAAAAGCCTCTCAGAGCGGGAGAGGGGAGCTCACCTCACGCCCAGCGGCGGATGAGGCAATGAAAGAGAACCGCGGTTTCTTGTGGTAGACGTCGATGCCTCTAGTGCCATACGCTGTTTTTTTTAGTGGTGACGGTTATGTTGCCAGTTCTTGAGTGGCTCGTCCAAGATACCGAGAGCAGGAAAACGTCAAAGTGTCAGGTTTTCGGCGGTCTAGCGTAGATGCGCCTGTGGCGCCGCTGCTCTTTTTCCCATTTCAGGTGTGAGAAACATCAGAGATATAAAGAGTCAGTGAACCTTAGACATATCTCTTTATTTCATTTTGCTCCTTTTTTCCTCTATATTTCTACAGCGAGAAAAGCTGAAATGAGCTTGAGCATAAAGATTAATAATGCACACTCCCCATGTTCATTACAGCTCAGCGCTGAGGGCTGTTTAACATCGGGGAAACCATTCTGATAAAAAAGTATTAATAATGTTTCCTATTCTAAGTTATTAAATTAGATTTTAAAAATACAGCTAAGGGCATTTAGCTCAAATTGATTGCGGAACGATAGCATAGAGCTTTTTAAAAGAGAGTGTGCAGAAGTATTGTCAGTCCAGAGCCGGCTGTCCTTAATGCGGGCATCGTCACTGCAGTTTTGGCCATTTTGTGCCCCTCTTGATTTAATCATTACTGTTTGAAATTAGAGGACTGTGGCAATATTCCCTACTAAGACTCTCTCCTTATTGTTATTAGCTTCTAATGTAATAATATTTTTTCCCATTAATTTAAGTTTAAGCCTATCGGGGTAATCTCTGCTCAGATAAATACTGCGCTAACACCCTTTCATGTATGAAATTAAACCAAATTTGAATGCAAATATATGGAATAAGGTGTGATTAAGAAGAGAGAAAGGCCTCATTTGTAATATCCTGCCTTTACATGCTTTTTTCAGGTCGCAAACATTTTAATGTTTAATTCGTGTTATGTAAAAAAAATATAGAAAATCATGAAATACATAAATAGATTAAACAAGCAAGTTCTCTGTTGATCCATTCTGTCATTTACAATTTATTGTCTATTTTATCTGGGTGTATAATATGAAAAGTTTTCATTACAAATAATCATTAAAAATATGAATAAATTATATCATTAGATTATGTTGTTTTTAATATATTAGATTTTGAATTGTAATTGATCATAATCGTAAATAATTGTTTCGGACAACTATGTTTGTTTTATTCTAATGCTTATTAATTTGTGATTTGTTATTTTTATTATCGTTGCACTGTAGAGTGAACCGCTCTGTGTGATGACAATAGAAATTATACTAAACTCAAGGAGCTAACGATCGCCGTCTGTTTCCAGAGCGAGCTTCTCGACGGGCCGGCAGATTATCTGAGCAGTCTAGATGATATGGCCGACCCCGAGGCCTGTCTGTCCAGGAAGAAGATTAAGAAAACAGAAAGTGGTATGTACGCGTGTGACCTTTGCGACAAAACATTCCAGAAGAGCAGTTCCCTCCTCAGACACAAATATGAACACACAGGTATATATACTGTTCTAGACACCATCATTTAATAACTGTCTGTCTAACTCCAGAATATTCTCGCTGCTTCTTGCTTTCTTCTTTCGCTCTGTCTTTTTCCACTACCTTAATCATGTTTACTTTTTTCCTTTTTTAGTAAAAACTAACATGTTTCTCTCCTGTTGACAGTCAGTGAGAGGATTTGTAAATGTAATTAATGTGGCAAAAACATGACACTGATATTGCACTAAATTAAGAAAATAATTAAGCAAAACTAAACAGTTAGAAAAAAAATAACCACACAATAAGCTGGACTGAATAATCTCTGGAATTGTCTGGGAGTGAACGAGAGAATGAACCTTTGACATTTACACTGTTAGTAGAGGCTACATTCACACCACACATTTATATAATTAGACTTTATTTTGGATGACTGTATGAACAGGAAAAATTGCATTTATATGTGAAAATAAATGGGCAATATTTTTGCTAAATGACTTCAATGTGAAATTTTAAGGTTGTAAATGTTTTTTTTTGTTACTCTTTTTTTTTATGACAGTCTAAATTAACAGTCGTCTTAACTGCATGCTTGATTTACCCTTGAAATTAATACAATAGTGTATTCATTATGTTCATTATTACACTGAAAAATGCAGCAATATACTTGAATTTGTATTAGATCTAAGAATGAAGGGAAGTTCTTTTCATTTTATTTTGAAATAAAATATGATAAAAATTTATTTTGGGGGGGGGGGTGCAGTAAATCAGGATTGGACACTTTGTTGTGTGAATGTAGCCTGACACCATGTCTACACTGGATTTGTTTTTTAACACTGACCAATCAGCTGGAAGCTTGCTTGAGGCTACGCTTTCCTTGAAATTAGTCATTTTCAGCAGACATCCATTTGTATAAAAATTGATTTAAAAATAATTATACAGAATGTTTGTGCATATACATATAAAACTGCATATAGGGTTAAAAACACAAGATGATTTAAATAAAAAAAAAGGCATAGACCAGAAACATCAAGAATTAAATTTCTAGAATAAAATTAATTCCACACGTATAAGGTTTTATTAATAAAATAATTGTTTTCCAGATGGATGGGAGAAAAAAGTGGCTGGAGCAGCTCTACAGCTCTTCAGAAATACAAATGGAGCGTCTGTCAGCTGAAAGCAACTCTAGACAGCTTCATTGATTATAATGGGAGCGATTTAGTTTTGATGCATTTTGGATGTGCAACTCATGCCGGCTGTAGACATGGAGCTTAAGGTCACATTCTATTCCAGAGACCAGCCAGTGTGAATAAAAGAGTGAAATAAAAGTGAATTAAAGGAGGAGAGTAACTGCGCGCACACACACACACACAGTTTCTTTCTCTTAATTGCATCACCGTTTACAGTCAGTCTGGAAGGACATGGGAATTAATCCACTGACGTGAATACAACGTTTTCATTTCCCTGTCTCTCTCTTGTCTTTGTGCTGTCTCTCTCTGTCTCTCTCGCTCTCTCTAAATGTAAAGTTCTGACTAGGACTGATATTATAGTTTATCAGTGTAAATGTGAAGTTCAAGACCAGGCAATACATCACAAACAATTATATCTCAATATTTTGAGATTTTTTTTTTTATATTTAAGTATTGGTTTTTCAATCAGAGAAATCATTATTTTAACCTAAGGATGCATTTTAAATATTTAATGCAAGCAGTACATTTCTGAAAAAAAAATGCTAATATAATTAATGCATGATTTCTCACTGTAAAAAATAAAGCAGCATATATATTCACTTTCATTTATATGCACCAGTATAACAATTTTTAGTATTACGGCTCAGCATTTACATTATGTATTTTTTATAAATTATTTAATATATGAAAAATGCAACAGGGGTGTTTAGAATCAGTTCATTTAAAATAAGTGAAATTCAAATAAATAATGTATATTTCATATATTTAAAGAACATTAAATGTCAAATATGAAGTGCATTAAAACAAACACAGTATACACAATGTTGCTTAAATTTATATTGCTTTCAGAATGATCACAAATAATCACAACCTGCACATTCATTTTTAAATGTTAATGTAATGTATAGAAATTAAAGTTTTTATTAAGGGCAATGTTTACCCCCTACAGTTGATTTTCAGGGGCAAAAAATAAATGAATAAATTAAAAAAATACAGAGCTTGGTGCATGTCAGCTGTGAATCAATTAATAATAATAATAAAAAAAAAACACTATTTGACTTATTACAAAAGCAGTATTTTAATAATTGCGTATGTTAATTTTACAATCAGCACATAGAAGTGATGCACAGATATTATGTCAGGTAAACGTTAAGCTAGAACACATTTCGCATAACTGTCCGGTGATCTGTTTTTAAATTATATAGCTTCATATAGGTTCATGAAAAAAATCACTTCATATCATGTGCAGATTGAACATCAGTCACCTCTGAGAGCATGAATACAGATATCTGACAGCTACAGGTCACTCGACTGGCCTAGAGGAGAGTATGATGGAATATAGCAAATATTACATAAAACCCCAGCAATTAAATATCTGTGGCATTTGTCACTTTTGTCTCGTGTACCTGACCGCAGCGTCTCCCCTCGCTCTTTCCCTCTGTCATTCATGCCATCCCTCTCTTTCAGCTCTTGTCTTTTCTCATGACACGTCACCTCACGCGACAGGACAGAAAAAGAGTTACGCAGCAGGAATCCGCCAGCGCATTTCACTCTATTTGTTTGTTCCTGCGCTCCAGCTCTGTGTGTTTGTTTGGTTTGCGCTGGTTTATTTATGTTGCAGTGTTGTAGCGCTTGGGCCCTGCGCTGCCTCACCGCTTCACGCTTCACTTCTGTGAGGGAATGTTACAGAGTAAATACACAAACGAGACGGCGGCGCGTCAAGCAGAACCAGAGAAGGCAAACATTCATAACACTGGATTATTTTGGCTCGTTTTCATCGGAACCCTTTTATTTGGTGTTTATTTTGGTTAGCGTGCGAGATCTGCTGTGTGTTTGTGAGGAGTGCATATTCGCTCGCTCACCGCGTGCAATCTGTCGTTGTGTGTTTCCGCAGGTAAACGGCCGCACCAGTGTCAGATCTGCAAGAAAGCGTTTAAACACAAGCATCATCTGATTGAACACAGCCGCCTGCACTCCGGAGAGAAGCCCTACCAGTGCGACAAATGTGGAAAGCGCTTCTCGCACTCAGGCTCGTACTCACAGCACATGAACCACAGGTACTCGTACTGCAAAAGAGAGGCGGAGGAGCGCGAGGCGGCCGAGCGAGAAGCCCGAGAGAAGGGTCACCTGGAGCCCACGGAGCTGCTGCTAAACCGGGCGTACCTGCAGGGCATCGCTCCACCCGGATACCCAGAGCATACACCAGAGCCTATCCTGAGGGACGGCCTGAACGGGAGCATTCGGGAGCGACTCAAGGAGGTGGAAGGAGCGTTTGTGAAGATGGGCCGGCGAGACGAGGAGTTCGAGGAGGAGGAAGAAGAGAGCGAAAACAAAAGCATGGACACCGACGGGGACACCATGAGGGACGAGGAGGAAAACGGCGAGCACTCGATGGACGAGAGCTCCGTGGACGGCAAAACCGAATCCAAATGGGATCCTGAGGACGGCGTGGAGGACGCGGTGTAGCCACTCGCTCGGGGAACGGGTCGTCTGCGAAGCTGCATTATGCAAAAATAAAAAAAAGGAAAATAAAATAAATGAAGTTTTAAAAACGTGTACAGTATTAAGGCCTAACGTATGTGTGGTGCTACCATCCTATGTGTTCCATAGTATTAATAGCACAAACTAGTAACTTGTACAAAAATTGCGCTCTCCTTCTATAATCACTACGAGCATAATGAAATTATTTGCTGATGTATATTTATACAGTGTTAAAAAGCGGTGCAGGGGATCAGTATTTAATGCGTTTTTTCTGCCCTCGCCACACACTCTTTTAGGCCGAATTCACGTGAAGGACCGTAACAGTATTCCGTTTGCTTTGACGATTTCGAGTCTTAAAGAGACTGTTTGGAGAGAGAACGATCATTCGACCGGGACAGACGACGGATGGACTGAGCCTTTGGAAGGTTGTTGCCTTATATGCAAACTTGTTAATCAGCGCGTTTCTAAAGTGCCAACCCTGTTCAGTATTACAGGAGAGCGACGCGAGCAGTCTCTCTCACTCGCTCTCTCTCTCTCCGATCAGCTCTTTAGTTTACAACGACGTTTGTGCAATTTTGTTCTCAGTATTACACCAAACCGTTTTGCAATGACAGAATTGCATCCTTTTATTTGTAGGTTTAAATGACATCTTATTTATGTGGCCCATTTTGTATCTCCTGATTTTATTTATTTCATACTGTACAGTACAGTATTATAGTTCTTCAATAAATAGATCTATTTTAGTAAAATGGAACCTGGAGTTGATGAAAGCATTTATTGTGTTTTGAAACATTAATTGTGAAATGCAATTTTCGATTTCATTTCAGTTAATTTTTTGGTTGTTCTATTATTTTTTTCCAGTTACTGGAAATTCCAAAATTTTGGAACTTTTGATACGATATTGTGAGAACACTGTATTTTCAACTGAAAAAACAAACAAAAAAAAAAACAGAGAAAATAGATCCACTTTCATGTATTTTGTTGAAGTGGAACAGGGACAGTTGAAATTCAATGTATGATAATATCATGACTGAAAACACACAAATCTTTCCTGAAATGTCTTTGTAAGAGTATTATGGACTTTTTAATTTGTAATTTCTCTTGGAAATGACCATGCTCAAATAAAAGTAGCCAAATTAAAGAACTTTTCAAGAACGCGTGTGGATGTGAGTGAGCGTGTGTGGACTGAATTATCATACGTCGTCCATATATTCATGTGTTTTTGTTTTAGAGGACACTTCAGTTCTGGCTTTGACTCTATGAGAGCGGCGGAAATCTCACCTTTCAAAGGTGATTCTCAGGCGCCGTCATTAGATATTCCTACAACTTCAGAGCCGATGAAGGCCGAGCAGGTTTTCAATGAACTCTTCAAATAAAGAGCAGAGAACCTGTCGAACAAAGCGAGAGCGAGACAGACAGACAGACAGAGAGACAGCTTAAAGTGTCTTGAGTTCCTACAGCATATGCATATGAAAGCATGCAGATCAAACGCTCTCTCTCTCACACACACACACACACACACACACACACACACTGACCTCTCCTCACCTCACCTGATCAATTGAGTTTGCAAATTAAATCTATTCAGTTTCCCAGTTTCAAATGTTTATTGAGAGAACAATTATAACAGAATTTGAAACTGAGGTTAATAATAATAATAAAACTTAAAACTTATTTTTATATGTATTTAGTTTTTTATAAAATGGCATACATATACACAAAGAATTGTCACAGTTTTTAGTCCAGTGAATATTTCTCATGCTGGTTTGTTTTTGAAAATCAAAATCAATTCCTGTATGAACACAAACCATGTATATATTTAATGAAAAGCTACTGAACATTGGTAGCAGAATTATTTCTCATTGAAACTGCAATTAGAAAAAAAAAACACAAGTGTAAAATTACAACATATGTGACAGTTTGCTCAAACAAGGGTGACATTTATGGAAAAACAACTGGACAGTTCTACAAAAAAAATGTGTTATTGGAGTTTTAGTTTGAAATGTCTACAAAATAAAAAAATTAAAAAAACAAGACTCAAGTTGTGAACAATTTTGACAGCTAGTCCTAGTCGTCCCCGTACAGTATATTTATACTTACACACATAATTAGGATAAAAAAAGAGTTCTGTGCCTCAGGTTATAGTTCAGTGTGACATATTTGGCAGCCACAGTGTGTTTCCAATATCATTTTAATGTGTTCATTATCATTTTAAAAAAGTCATAATTCCAGCAGTCAGTAATATCAGCCAGTCCCTGTATTTATGTAGAACAGCTTTTCAGTGTCGACTCTCTTTTTTAAAGGATGTGTGTTTCTGTTGTTTTCAGCTGTTGTTGTTATTTTTCATGTGTTTAATGTCTCTTAGAATATTAATTTGCTTTTTTTTTTTTGGATGATTAGTCAGGATTCAAACCCAGTGCTGCCCACAGGGCTATCGGCTCTGACAAACCTTACCTATAATTTAATATGACTGTACATGCCATTGTGTTATTTATTAATGACAACATGAGTTCAAAATGTCTGATGTGAAGGAGAAACAGCATTCATGCATAACAGGGTTAATAAATATTACAAATGAAAGGCCTTACTAATTCTGTGAATCACTCAAACGACTCTGAACAGTCACACGACTGCTCTACTGTTCGTACAGTACGTGTGTGTGTGTGT